TGTTGATTTGGTTAATTACCACGATTCCCAATTAAATGAGTTACCTAATTGAATTAGGATTTGATTTGATACCTACCACAATTAGGGATTTGATTTACCCTAATTAATCAAATCAATTCCAAAAAGGGGAGGAATAATTCCCTTCCATCTACGGAATTATTCCTCTGAAACCCTAGCCTCCGAGACCATTATAAAAGCATAGCCACACACAAGGGTTGAGGTACGTCTGAAATCCCTACTGAAACTCTGCAGAAAATTCCTCTCAAACCCTAGCCACCTCCTTTCTCTCTCTCTTTTACATAAGGCTACGGCCACCCAGTTTATGCCATAAACACATCTCCGTACCCTATTAGCTATTGTTTTCTATATGATTCAATTGAACTAATTTAGGCATCGGAGGGCCTTTGGCCAACACCCCTCGGGTGTGGTCCTCTTATTGGTTCTATTTTGCAGGGAGAAGGAGGCGGCGAAGAAGAAAGGGGAATCTTTCCAATCGAATATTCTCGTGGGGAAATTTGTACACTCAGTTAGTATTTAGGGTTAATTGGCTATAAAAATTAAGTGGCATTGGTGATGGTGAAATCAGATGCTCTAGTGTCTCATCAACTTGATTTTCCATATCTTTAATTAAATTGCTATTTTTCATAACTGTTTTAGTTTAATTAAATCAATCAATCCTCCTAATTAACTGTTTAAATAAACTTATGCATTAATCATAATTGGTAATTAAAAGGAAATTACAGTCTTCGTGGGAACGACACTTCACTTATCTCTATATTACTTGTGCGGATTGTGCGCTTGCAATCATTTCACAAAACTAGGTAATGTTAAGGACTATTAATGTCACAAAAACATAATGTGATAATTTCGCTAATCTCAGGGACCATTTTGCTAACTTAAGCCTTCAAAAATATATGAATTCCCTTCTTGAGAACTCAACCTAATTAAGTTACAAATAGGAATTTAATTTCACATACCAACTACATCCATCTATCAATACATAGCATCACATTAATTCTAATTCAAAATTCTTCACCAAATGTGGTAATGCTACTCTTACAACATTTGTATACCACATTCTCATACCACCTTATGTGGCAGATGAAGTGGACAACCATATCAATTACAAGTGCATAGATGAGATCTCAGTAGTGTCTCAAGATTGTATGATTTTTATATATGCTAGACCCATTTAATTTCTTGTTTCCACATGTATTTTACTCTGCATTGGAGTCCTTGTTGGGGTTAATAACTGTAAACTGGTTTGCAACTCGTAACATTAGCCAAATCAGTTATAGGAATTCTGAGGGCTTGTCTTTGTGCCAGTAAAAAGAGATCTCTGAACTTGGAAGACATTGATGTTGCAGAGGACTAATAGAAAACACAAAGCCATGTACTTCTGGTTACATTCTAATATTTCAATTTCATTTATTTACTTGTACGAACAGATTCAGTGAAATTTAAAGTTGCGAATTGATGAACAAGGGAAGCTGCTGAAGAAGATGTTTGATCTGCAACAACAAAAAAAAACAAGTAATGACCTGTTGAAGACTCATGCAGTTCTCTTTAGTCCTTGGTGAGAAAAGAAAAGGTGGCAGATTTAAACCAAACCATTACAAAGAAAAAGAAAGATGTACAAGAATCTCATGCAGTTGAAGCGCTCATGTGAAGAGCAACTAAGGGTGCACAAGATCCATCCGAGATATTCATCAAAGTATCATGCTTGCCTCTCTCTATGATAACCCCATTTTTTACCACTACGATCACATTAGCATTCTTGATTGTGGATAGTCTATGGGCAACCACCACAGTGGTCCGGTTTACCATCACTCCGTCTAATGCATCTTGAACCACTCTCTCAGATTCAGCATCGAGTGCACTTGTAGCTTCATCTAACAGTAACATCTTGGGGCTCTTGATTATAGCACGCGCAATGGCTATGCGTTGCTTCTGTCCCCCAGACAGTTGCACTCCTCGTTCTCCTACTATGGGGTCAAACCCCTGCATAATGCATTCGGATTAATGTTGCAACAATCTATTATAAGTTGTCACTAAGATCAGTTGACTTGTACCCAAAAACATATATTATAATGCATTAATGTTCTAACCTGTCCTAAGCTACTAATGAACCTGTAGGCATTGGCCAACTCTGATGCAGCTATAATTTCGGCTTCAGTTGCATCTCCATCTTTTCCATATGCAATGTTGGAATGAATGGTGTCGTTAAATAAAGCAGGTTCTTGGCTCACAAGCCCCATCTGTTGCCTTAACCATTTCAATTGGACTTTTCCAAGTTCAATTCCATCAAGTGTGATATGACCTGAATCCGGATCATAAAATCTTTGCAACAATGCTACTACTGAGGATTTTCCACTCCCACTTTCTCCAACCAAGGCAACTGTCTGCAAAAGAGATTCGCAAAAGAACCACTATATGAAGACCTACACTTCAACATGTCATCAAACTAAAATATTATAAGATAGTAATTTTTATTTTTTTTAAATAACAGAATTGAAATCCAAATCAATGATGAAATGCTTACATTGCCACAATGAATAGTCAAACTTAGGTCTCGGAAAATCTGTATGTCTGGCCTAGATGGATATTTAAAGATTACACGGTGAAGCTCAATCTCCCCCTTTACGCTGTCCAATTTCACACCAGACTCGTCACTAGGGTCTATCTTTGACTTCCTGTCTATTATTGCAAATATGGAAGCAGCAGCATTCTTGGCTTTACTAGAATCAACAGCAAAGGAGCTCGACTGAGAAATTCCCATAGCTGCCATGGTTAAAGCATAAAAACCTGCAGGCCAAATACACATCTTAAAACCATCTACATATGCTTTGGTCTTGTTTTAAAAACTATTTGATGAATGGAGCGAATAATTACTTGGAAAACGTGTGGAAATGTTGTTTTTCCAGCCTCAACAAGTTTAGCTCCCGCATAGAAACAGGTTGCATAGACACAAAACAGAGAGAAGAAAGATATTCCAAATCCTATTCCACTGATCAAGCCTTGTCTTTTGGCTGCCTCCGTAGGGCCTTCACATTTCCTTCTGTATAGGTCCATTACCTTTTCTTCAGCACAGAAAGAAGCAACTGTTCTTATGCTCCCAACTGCATCATTTGCAACTTGGCTTGCTTCATCATACATCATCTGCAACCATTTAATACATCTTGATTGTTAGAAGAAAGAAGGGATTTGAATTTACAAATTGTGAAATGTTCTAATAATCCAGAATTGGCACTTGGAAATGTAAATGTGGACAAACTCTAACTGTATTTAAATGAGAAAGCTTTTACTTTCAGGGAGCTATAGATCATACCTTTGCATCTGCACTGAATCCTCTCATGAAATTTGCTTGAACATATCCGTTAATTCCGATTAGAGGAATCAATGCGAGTAAAATGAATGCCAGCTGCCAACATGCAGTAAAACCAATGAACAAACCTGCAGCTGCAGTGGCAATGCTACTAACCATCTGAGCGTGTCTCCTACTAGGGCCCGCACTAGAGCGGCATCTGCTGAGAGCCTGGCACCAATTGCACCACTTGAGTTCCCAGCCTCATCAAACCACCCAACCTCCATGTGAACCACTTTCTCGAAACAAATCAATCTGATACGTTCAATTAACTTACTACCAGCCACAGAAAAGAAGTATTCCCTTGCTGGGATCACCAATGATGATGCCACACCAACGGTCATAAACATAATTGCCCAAAACTCTGAATCTTTCTTTTGTTGACGAGGTGGTTCATAGAAAGTCTTTACTACCTTGGACAAAAGCAAACCATAAATTGGAATCATAACACCAGTGATGATTGCAGCTACAGTTCCAATAAGAAGCACTGGAATCTCGGGCTTATTGAGGGCAGCAAGACGGCGCATTGAGATCTTCGGAGGTTGCTCTAATGGCAGGGCAGGGGCTTCTGGATCTGCCTGCAATGTATTGTTCTCATGCATGCTACCAACAGAGGAATTCCGACTTAAGGATCTTACTAACGCCATCCTTTGACTCAACTGTCTAAAACATTTCATAGTAATTTCGGATTTGTTTTGAGCTTCTGCTGTTTGTTCTGATCCCTTGTTTACTTCTTGCAAGCGTATAAGTTGAGAGTATGCTCCTTCAGGATCCTTGAGTAAGTCTGAGTGCGAGCCTGATCAGTTGACAAAAAGTTACTGTTAATTGATATATACAGAAAGTACCGATCAGAGCTAACAGCCTCTGTGTATATCTTTCCATTGTGAATATATACTGCTGTTTCTCTTCACCGTAGTAGATAATAATTAACTGCAGCAGCAGTGGACTTCCTGTTGCCTTTCACATTATTTTTAAGCAGTTCGTCTGCACTCTAAGTGCCAATCCCCAACTAGTCTGTCCACAGAAAATATGTATAGATGGGAAAGAAGCAGGAAATGCATATTAGGCATGCAGGCAGTTTGATTTTATATACCATCTTAAACAAAATGAAAAAAGTGATTTTCTTTACATCATCCTCTAAGTTAATTCTGCAGAAATAATTATGAGATAGTGTGCATAAAGCAGCATAATTTAATTATGAGAATAAAAATAATGTGCTATGAATGACCTTATTAGATAGAATACCTCTTTCAACCATCTTTCCTTTATGAATGATTGCAATTGTATCCGCGTTCCTCACCGTGCTCAAACGATGAGCAACAATAACACTAGTTCGGTTTACCATAATCCTGTCCAATGCTTCTTGAACTATCCTTTCAGATTCTGCATCAAGTGCACTTGTAGCTTCATCCAGAAGTAAAATTCGTGGATCTTTCAAAACTGCTCTTGCTATAGCAATTCTCTGCTTCTGCCCACCAGACAGCTGAGTTCCATGCTCACCCACCATGGTGTCAAACCCCTGAACACGAAATATATATGCAATTCCAAAGTGAAGTAAGCCTATATTATGTTCTTATGGTGATCATGCGTGTACAGTTCAATCAAAATGAGCTAGCTAGAGCAAATAAATTAGAACCTGGGGCAGTTTATCAATAAATTTAGCAGCATTTGCAAGTTGAGCTGCTGCTTCTATCTCTTCAAGAGTAGCACCATCTTTTCCATAGGCAATATTTTCCTTAATGTTGGATGCAAACAGTACAGGTTCCTGGCTGACAAGACCAATTTTACTCCGAATCCATTTGAGCTGAAATTCTTTTAGGTTTATACCACTATCAAAACTTCACCAGCTCTTGGATCATAAAACCGCTCTATCAGACTGATGACTGTTGACTTCCCACTTCCACTTTCTCCAACCAAAGCTGCGGTGGTGCCACTAGGGATATAAAGTGAGAACCCATCGAATATTTGTTCATCTGGTCTGGCTGGATAACTGAAAAATCCTCTCTCAACTCTATATCTCCACGAATGTCATTCAATGTCTTTCCTTTTTCGTCATAGGCATCAATCTCTGGCCTCCTACTGATAGTCTCAAACATCTTAAATGCTGTAACTTGACCAGCGGCGAATGCACTGAAGCACGTTGATGCCTACCCCAGTGACCTAATTCATATCCCAAATAGTTCCAAAAGAAAGAAAATTATCAAATTATTCAGAAAAAAAAACAAATTAAAACATAAAGGGAAGAAATTTGAAAGTTAAGAGTGGAGCTTACATGGATGTAGTCAAAACAGCAAGAATCACATTCAGCACATCACCCCCGGAATATCCTTTTTCCCTTATCATTCTTGAACCAAACCATACAGCCAAGGCATAAGAAAAGAACAAAACTAGCATAACGAAACCATGACCTATTCCAGCAGCCGAACCTTCATGAACACCTGATTTGTAAGCATCCACAAGATTTTTACTATAACTTGTAATAGCTTTCTTCTCTCCAGTAAAGGATGCAACCTAGATATATGATATAGGAACCAATCAAACGAAAAACATCATATATATTCTTGGTTGGTCACATAAATAAAGTAAAAGAAATTAATTATTCCAATAACTAGCTCCAAGGCAAATAAATGTACGTTATGTGACTACATACAGTTCTAATGGAGCCTATCGTCTGATCAAGAACGTTTGCTGCTTTTGCGTAAGCATTCTGTCCATGGGATGCCATCTTGGTTACAATGAAGGATATGGATGCACCAGCTGCCACAAGCAGAGGAACACAGGATAACATGACAAGGGTAAGAGGCCGCAATTTGATGAATGCTATTATAAACCCTGCAATGAATGTTGAAAATAGCTGGACAAATTTCCCAACCTGCACCAACAAGTTGTTGTTACATTATTATAAGAAGAGTAACACATTTCAAGGTTTCTGTTCTTCCATTCCATTTCCAGCTGATTTTTATTTTTATTTCTTGTACTAGTAGACGTACCTTCTCACCCATGGCATTTTGTATGAGAACAGTGTCACCGGACATTCTCCCAACGACCTCTCCACTGTTTGTTTCCATGTCAAAGAAAGCAACATCTTGTCTCAATATTGTTTTCAAATGCAAAGCCCTTATCCTTGCAGCTTGTCTTTCCCCTGTTACCATCCAGAAACCGACCTCTATTGAACAAAAACAAAGGGGTTTATCAATCAGTTCAAATGCTCAATTAATATATAGAAGAAAGAATTTCTCTATGCATTGCATTATCAAAAACAAAAACTTATGATATGTACTGACGAAGAGTTGCGGCCACAGCTGCCCAGATAGCCAAATACACAAATTTTAGAGAGACCTACAATTTTCCAAGATAAGTACGTGATCATCAAAATGTTCATCGAATCAATAGAGGAACAGATCTTGTTATAATTATGATATGAATACCTTGAAACAAAATATATGTATAAAAAAAACACCTGAGCTCCAGAAGTCAAACAGGATTTTCTGGAACTTAAATATTTCACCTCGTAAATTAAAAAAGAAGTTGATAATGTAAATAAAACTAGACGTTTTTCCAGTGATGAAGGTTAGAACTCAGGTTGTAACTTGTCTGTAGACTTGTGAAACATAAGTTTACCTTGGAAACAACACTAAGTCCTATGTGTGTATTGTTTTGATTAGTTCCAAAAGAATCACTCATCTCCCCGACCAGTATCGTCATAATCGGCATACATGAACCGTTCCCCATGGCACCAATCGTGCCGACGAGCATCAACATAATATCAGTCTTATCTGCAAACGAAAATAACTTCATAAATGCAACTCTTTCAGTTTTTTCCTCTCCTCCATTGCTGCTCTTGTCGTGATCCCTGTTCTTCATGCTAGACCCCCTCTCTTCTTCTTCTTCTTCTACTACTACTACTACTTGGTCTTTTGATGTTGTATTATTATTACCAACCAACCACCAGAATTTTGATGTCTCAGTAAGTAGGGGTATTGATTTTTTGTTGTTACCGAATCAAGGATTTGATTAATTAGCAGATTTTGTATATCACCATTCTCTCAATTACAGCTGTATATATATAGTTTCCTTATAAGTCCTGTAATATACATCACACTAATTATTGTATACAATACACTCTAATATTCATACTGCACAAATATATGGATTCCCTCTTTCAGAACTCAACCTAATTAAGTTAAAAACCGGAATTTAATTTCACATACCAACTACATCCATCTATAAATACATAGCATCACATTAATTCAAATTCAAAATTCTTCACCAAATATGATAATGCTATTCTTATCACATTTATATACCACATTCTCATACCACCTTACGTGGTGGATGAAGTGGACAATCACATCAATTAAAAAGTGTCAATAAATCATAAAAGAAAAGAAAATGTTAAATTAATTTTAATTGATTCGTCACCTCATCTACCACATAAGTTGGTATTGGAATGTGGTATACAAAAATATGGTAAGATTAGCATTATTCCAAAAGAAAAACAGCTAAAACAGGAAAAGATTTTCTTTAATGAGAAAAATAAGAGAAAAAAGTGTCACTGCCCCTCCGCTAAGAAAAATTAGAGAAAAAAGTGTCATTGCCCCTCCTCCCCCTCCTCTCTTCTCATCTTTTTCGTTTAGGTTAGTAAATAAGTCCACTGAGGTGTTTTAAATAAAAAGCCCCTTGTGATAATTTCTTTTAAACCATGGTTAGATTGAAGTTCCCCATCACTAGTGGCGGAGCCAGGATTTTATGTTGTGGGTGGGTGGGGGGAATGGCAATATGTTAGGGTTTAGGGTTGATCCATTTCCTAGTGTTAAGCTTGTAAATAAATAAATAGGGGGGGAGGGGATGGCAATATGTTAGGGTTTAGGGTTGATCCATTTCCTACTGTTAAGCTTGTAAATAAATAAATAACCGATTATCTTTAATTTCCTATTTTCTTAAATATACTTGTGAAAGAAAGATTTGATTGAATGTTTCTTTTCATTTTTATTAATTATGTTGGTGGTATCCAGGAGTAACTTAGGCACAGTTTGGGATTGCTGTCACTTTTTAAAAAAGTTGCTTTTGCTGTGCTTTGAAAATAATTAGCTATAAAATAAAGCAGCTCCATGTTTGGTAAACAATATTTTTAAAGTGCTGTTAGTACAAAAAGCAGTGTCAAAATCGTTTGGTAAATTTTAATATAAAATTGTTCTAACTGTGAATAACGACTAAATAGACATGATATTAAAAATGTTATGTACTAATCATGTGGTGGTAGTGGTAGTGATGGAGTGGAGGTGGTGGTGGTGGTGGTGATGAAGGTGGAGTTGGTGGTTGTGGTAGTGGTGGAGGTGAGGATGGTGGTTGTGGAGGTGGTGGTGGTGGTAGTGGCAGCATGGTGGTGGTGATGGTGGTGGTGGTGGTGGTGGTGGATGTGTGGAAGTTTTGGAGGAAGAGGTGGTTGTGGTGGTAGTGCTGAAGGTGGTGGTGGAGGTGGTGGAGGAGGTGGTGGTTGTGGTGGTGGTGGCAGAGAATGAGGAGAAGGATGTGGTGGTGGTAGTGGTGGCAGTGGCGGTGGTTGTGGAGGGGGTGGAGGTGGAGGTGGAGGTGGAGGAGGTGGTGGTGGTGGTAGTGGTGGCAATGGCAGTACTTGTGGAGGTACAAGCATACGCTCGTGATGCATATAGTTCAATCAAAAAAGGAGTTTAAGCAAATATGCAATTTATGACCTAAGTTCATGACAAACAAAGTTCTCATCTTGTGAATCAATAAGCATGCCAAGCAAATTCTCCCTCAAAACAAAAATAAGGATTGCAAGACTTGCGTCCTGTCAACTTCTACTTCTCACAGCCAAGAACAAACGCCACAATTATTCCTCAAATACTCAAATTGGCAGAGTCATTTACCGAAAGACTACAATAGAAGCCCAAAAAAAAAAAAACCAAGTTAGAAGGCTGGAAGATTCGAAGGTTCCAGCAGCAAAAACGTCAAAGCTTCCAGCACTCACCTTCCCCTGCCTGTGCTAGAGACGTATACACCTACATAGAAAAAACGCATCATGCAAAGTTAAGCCTTTTCACCAGCTCAAAAGGGGCCACCACATGATAAAAAGGAGGAAGAAAAGTGGAGAAAAGTGGAGCAATCCATACCAGCGACTTTTCCTCTCAATTTCAGCACCCTTCCAGCAGCTTGCAAAAAGAAAGAAATCAAAAATGGGAGAACCCCCAAAAATTGATGCAAACCCCTTCCTTGCTAACGATTACTCCAACAAAAGGTGGATGGGTCAAAAGGAGTGGATGCTTCGCTGCCAAAACAAAGAGCAAAACCCATGGGTATGAAGAACCCAACAAACCCCTCAATAGATTCAAGAAATTGCAGGAGAAAAGGGCATACCTTGTTAATCCCTGAAAGGATAGCCTCAGATGCACCAAGAGAGAAGGAATTGGGAATTTTGAAAGAAAATTCTGCACAGAGACAATCTCTTCTAGCAACGGCAAGCGGGTTTCTTCGTATAGGGGGATGACGGAGTCTGATTCGGCTCGAACTCTCTTCCAGCGGCTGAAAATAGGTGGTTGTTGCCTGATCTCTCTCTCTCTTTCTCTAAGTTTGCTGGAGGAAGGAAAAAGAAAGAGGGGAAAGTGGTAAAAAGAGGTTTACTTTGGTACGCATAAAGAAGAAGGAAAAGAAGGAAGAAATAATAAATAGGAAGAAGGAGGAAGTTGGTATCTAGGAAATCGCAAATAATTGCTGGAGCTTATGAATTTGATTTTGGGTCGGGATTAATTATTCGGCCAATTCCAGCACTTATCCATGGCCCTAATAATTAAGGGGGCTAATGTTGAGGCCCAAAAAATCCACTGTTGGGCCTGAATATATTCTCGGCCCAAAACGATATATTATTGAGAAAAGACCCAATTGAGAGCACACGAAAATCCGCCATGCACAAGTCACACTCCACGTGCCATGCCAAATAAATAATCCGTCATGCTAGGAATCGAGATTAAGATTATAAAATGCATTAGCTCTACAAATGCATGCTAATTATCTCATCAAGCATCACAATTAAAAACGTGCCAAGCAACATGCCATGTAAAGCACGAAATCGTTATTTCGCACCCAACCACACTACAAGCCTAAGCGGGCCCAAGCCGCTTAAATACCCGGGGCTTGCTTGAGTGGGTTGTGGTATGGATGGTAATAAATCAACATGAGGCCCATTGATGGGATGAGAAATGGAAGTCTCAGGTCGCTTGGGAGCCTCGGGACTCAAGCCCATCAACAAGCATCACGCTTAAGCAAAAAATAGCATAAGGCACGATAAAACCGATCTATTACAAAGAAGCACACAATCTTGAGGTGCTGGAACAACATGATATGCAAGATCTGGGAGTTTTATAAAGCCTTGGTAAGAATCATGCACATGCTAGCCTGGCCCTTTTTAAGGAAGGCAAGAAGTTGCTTTTCAAGCCCAGAGGCTAGATAAACCATGCAAAAGAAACTTTAGAAATTCCGCTCATGTCGAAATTTCAGCAGCATGTACCTTGTTTTCAAGGATACCCAACCTGTCAGAGAATCTCAAGCAGTTCATACAAACAAATTTTGCCAGCTAAGCAATATATATATATATATATAAGACATGCAGATTACAACATGCCTCAAGCATTCAGAAATTAATACAAGCTCCAGTGATTCAACACTACATTACAAAGTCATAACGACATTGGTCGTGTAAAAAAAAAAAAAAAAAAAAAAAAAAAAAAAAAAAAATACAGTCAAGCAAGATAAAACTACACATGCTAAAGACCTATGCATCCTATGGTCTCAAAGGAAACAGAACCATGCGCCAAGATAGTCAATCACCAAGCCAAGGAAAGACAACCTTCAAGAAGAAAGAGGGCATGTGTCAAGACTAAGTGATGCTGGAAGCTGTGGAGAGGTGCCGGCAGCTGTGTCAGATGTGACTAGGAAAGGAGGAGTAGGAGGCAGCACTGCCGGAAGCTGTGGAGAGGTGCCGGCAGCTATGTCAGATGTGACTAGGAAAGGAGGAGTAAGAGGTAGCACTGCTGGAAGCTGTGGAGAGGTGTCGGCAGTTGTGTTGGATGTGCTTAGGAAAAAAAAAAATACGTAGAGGCAATGGGGCAAACACTTTTTTGATCCTGTAAAAAAATTGGCAGCATATACCTTGCACCTACCACAACCCAACCTGTTAAAATCTCAAGAAACTCATGCATTTCATCATTTGCAACAAAGTTAAGTGTATAGAACAAGCTAGAAATCTTTATCTCAATGCATTCCAAAACCCAACAATTCATGCAAAGCGTACAAAACAGGCCTAAGCTTAATATCTCAAGCATTCTACATCAAAGGTTCTGACGGAAAGTATGCAACAAGGTTGTGTTTCAGGTTTCCAACAACAAGAGCTTTAGGCTCTCCAAAAAAAAAAAAGGGTTACAACTCAAGCCCAAATGCAGTCAATTGTGCTAAAGATCGATACACCCTGCGGTTTCAAAAGGAAAAGCTACTATGCACCAAGCTAGCTCCCCACAACAAAGAAATGCGATCTGCAAGGCAAAATAAAGATGGGTGTTAGAGAAGAATGGTGCTGGAAGATATGCCCTTTTTATTTAAAAGAAAAAAATTTATGGTGTGAAGAAGGAGAATCTGGTACCTCAACTAGATCACGGTGCATGACTAAAACAGAATAGAAAAAGCGCTATGAGATGACCCTTTCGATGTTTCCACCATGCACCAAGCGCCATTCTCAGTCGCTCATTTGTCAAGGAGAAGGTCTCGTAGTTTACGGCACTGGCTCTCCAATTCGTGTTCCTGAAGGCTTAACACATTAACGACAAGTTTTGCTTAAGGGGATCACGCATACATCTACATGCTACAAGCATATCGTGCTCTAAAAATAGTGTGTGCTATAACTTCTTCTAAGTATTCAGCGGGAAGTCCACGCAAAGTCCTAATAAGACACACGCTTAAGCCCTTTCAGCACGCTGCTGTAAGGTCAAAAAACGATGTTTCCTTTGCAACCTTTAATCATCCGCAAAACTTCTTTGGTAGTTGGGTCTATCAACTCGCGATCGAACCACTCTGGCTAGCCCTTAGTGATGCTGCAAGGGTATTGAAAAATAATAATAAAAAAATCAAGTAGCCGTCGGAAACATGCATTTTCTCTATACAGCCCCTGGAAATGAGAGTAGCCTCCAAAGCTTACCCAGTGCCTATGATCAAGTTTTGGCAAGTGTTTCTAAGCGATGAAGGTAGGCATCTCTTCTTCAATCCATCGTGCAAGGGAAAATAGGCCATCACTCATCACAAAGGTCATTGGGACTTATTATGTGAATCCCCGCAAGAATTGCCAACAAAGAATATGCTGCAAAAGAGCAAAGCATCTCTGTGTTAAAGCCAAGTAATTTCCACACTAGCGTGCAAGCAACATGAACTTCACAAGCCAAGCCAAGCAAGCTATCTCACGCCAAGCGGAAGCATAAACAAAAATATTTTGAAGCATCATGCAATCTATTACTCAAGCTCATGACAAGCAAAGTTCCCATTCCATGCTAAATCAATCATTCCAGTAGACCCTTTTTCACAAAGCAAGTGTTACAAACTAAACACTATTTACCTCCTATTAACCTTTTTCATAGAAACAAAAAAAACAAAAAAAACAAAAAAAAACAAAAAAACAAAATCCCTATGAGTCACACGGCATTCTTGCAAACCTGTCATACACATGTTCATATCCTATCCCCAAAAAAAAAACAAAAGAATACTTATTTCCATTTGCTCCAAATGAAAAAGAAAAAAAAAAAAAAAAAAAAAAAAAAAAGTGCTTTCCTCAAGCTTTCAACAGCCTCTAACCCTGTGTATTAATTATGCGGTTACAAGCATACGCTCGTGATGCATATAGTTCAATAAAAAAAGGAGTTCAAGCAAATATGCAATTTATGACCCAAGTTCGTGACAAACAAAGTTCTCATCTTGTGAATCAATAAGCATGCCAAGCAAATTCTCTCTCAAAACAAAAATCAAGGATTGCAAGACATGCGTCCTGTCAACTTCTACTTCACACGGCCAAGAATAAACTCTACAATTAATCAAGCATATGTTCACAAGGGGAGTAAGCCTAGGCCAAGCACCAGTCTATCCTTATCCCTCAAATACTCAAATTGGCAGAGTCACTTACCGAAAGACTAAAATAGAAGCCCAAAAAAAAAAATACAAGTTAGAAGGCTGGAAGATTCGAAGGTTCCAGCAGCAAAAACGTCAAAGCTTCCAGCACTCACCTTCCCCTGCCTGTGCTAGAGACGTATACACCTACATAGAAAAAACGCATCATGCAAAGTTAAGCCTTTTCACCAGCTCAAAAGGGGCCACCACCTGATAAAAAAGGGGAAGAAAAATGGAGAAAAGAAAAGTGGAGCAATCCATACCAGCGACTTTTCCTCTCAATTTCAGCACCCTTCCAGCAGCTTGCAAAAAGAAAGAAATCAAAAATGGGAGAACCCCCAAAAATTGATGCAAACCCCTTCCTTGCTAACGATTACTCCAACAGAAGGTGGATGGGTCAAAAGGAGTGGATGCATCGCTGCCAAAACAAAGAGCAAAACCCATGGGTGTGAAGAACCCAACAAACCCCTCAATAGATTGAAGAAATTGCAGGAGAAAAGGGCATACCTTGCTAATCCCTGAAAGGATAGCCTCAGATGCACCAAGAGAGAAGGAATTGGGAATTTTGGAAGAAAATTATGCATAGAGACAATCTCTTCTAGCAACGGCAAGCGTGTTTCTTCGTATAGGGGGATGACGGAGTCTGATTCGGCTCGAACTCTCTTCTAGCGGCTGAAAATAGGTGGTTGTTGCCTGATCTCTCTCTCTCTAAGTTCGCTGGAGGAAGGAAAGAGAAAGAAGGGGAAAGTGGTAAAAAGAGGTTTACTCTGGTACGCATAAAGAAGAAGGAAAAGAAGGAAGAAATAATAAATAGGAAGAAGGAGGAAGTTGGTATCTGGGAAATCGCAAATAATTGATGGAGCTTATGAATTTGATTTTGGGTCGGGATTAATTATTCGGCCCATTCCAGCACTTATCCATGGCCCTAATGATTAAGGGGGCTAATGTTGAGGCCCAAAAAATCCACTGTTGGGCCTGAATATATTCTCGGCCCAAAACGATATGTTATTGAGAAAAGACCCAATTTGGAGCACACGAAAATCCGTCATGCACAAGTCACACTCCACGTGCCATGCCAAATAAATAATCCGTCATGCTAGGAATCGAGATTAAGATTATAAAATGCATTAGCTCTACAAATCCATGCTAATTATCTCATCAAGCATCACAATTAAAAACGTGCCAAGCACTAAATCGTTATTTCGCACCCAACCACACTATAAGCCTAAGCGGGCCCAAGCTGCTCAAAACCCGGGGCTTGCTTGAGTGGGTTGTGGTATGGATGGTAATAAATCAACATGAGGCCCATTGATGGGATGAGAAATGGAAGTCTCGGGTCGCTTGGGAGCCTCGGGACTCAAGCCCATTTCTTAAGCCCAAACACATGGGTGAGCACAAAAGGGAAAATAACCCAACCAAAAATAAGCCCAATCAAAATAGCCTATTGACTCAACCAAAAAGCCCAAACATTTTAAATAGCCCACTTACTTAAGGAACTACCTTGGCCCGTACAAAACTCCAAAAGAAGCCACAAAAGCCTCAGCCCCTTGCTAGAAAAATAGAAGCCACGAAGGGGGAGGTCTGAAGATTTATTGAACAAAGCTGCTGGAGGTTCCAGCACATGAGGGGAGCAAGTTCCAGGCAAGAAACATTCAAGGAACCAAAGAATATTAGCCTGCGAGCTGCCAGAAGCACCCTTCGAACCCGCATGTATATCCGCTTCCTTTCTTTCATCAAATCTGGCCAAGTAAGGAGGAAGGAAAAAAGAAGAAAAATAGCTAAGAATGGAGCCTCCCACTGGAACAGCTGCGGGAAAGGGGCCTTGAGCTCTCAAATTTCCTGATTTTGTGCGAATAGACAGAGGAAATTTCACCAAGATAGGAAAAGCCAAGGGAGGAGAAGAGAAAGGAAGGGAAAAGCTTAGCCAAAATGGGTAGAAACCATTAGGGTTTCTTGGGAATGGATGATTTCCAGCAGCTATAAAATGAGACCTCTTCTACCCAATGAAACCAACCCAGATTCAGAGAGCAAGCTTTCTCTCTAACTTGCAAAAGCCCAGCAATCTCGTGCACTGTTCACCCTCTTCTCCATTCTTCTCTTCTGGCAGATAGAGTATCTATCAAGCTGTCGGAAGAGCATTGTTCTTCATTTCTCTTTTCCTAGCCAAATCTCCTACAAATCTCTCCTTTCTCACATTAACACTTCCCTTTTTCCCCCTAAGAAAGCCTAAATTTCCCCTCAATGCTAAACTCGTGTTGATTTTGCTTCCATGCCACATGCCTCTCATGCCAAGCTCAAAGGTTTATCTGTAAGTAGGCAAAAATTACCTGTAAATTGCTATTGTTTTAGCTGGTGAAGGTAACCAAAATACTTCCTAAGGCTCTGCTACCATTTCGAAGTATTTTTGGGGCTTAATTTTCGAACTCAGGCGAAAGGGACAATTTCATCAGTCTGCCCTTTACAGCAGCCCAGCCCATTTACAGCTGCCGAAAGAAAAAGTCCCCTACAACTACTTAACTTTAAAGTGAAGCTGGTGTTTGGCAAAAAACAAAAGGGAGTTTCACTAAAACACCCAAAATGGGGGTTGAAATTATAAAAAAACCCAAGCACTATTTAAACATATAAACACACCCAAAACCCATCATTACACACACTCAAAACTCATTTATAAACACACCCAAAAAGTTGACTTTGTGGTTGATTTTGGGTGTGTTTCTATGTTTAAATAGTGTTTGGGTTTTTTTATAAATACATGTCTAAGATTGGGTTTATTTATAAATTTGTTATAAAAAAAAAGCAATGGTCTTAGTCATATTGCTAAGGAAAGAGCCTTTTAATTGGAGGGGGGAAATGTAAATCCCTCCTTCTCTTTATTGTGGGGGCCACAAGCATTATTTTAATATATATATATATATATATATATATGTATGTTATCCTAAGTTGTCCAATGCAAAGCCAATATGTATAGTATTTCAGAATTTTGGGAAAGCCAAGGCCCTTGCAGGCCTAATCACACCTCCGCCACTACCCATCACCCCTTTTAATCTATGTTCTCCACTATCAATAGGTGCAACTTATGTTCTACAAGCTGAAACTTTTGCACTATGCCTAGCTCTCGATAGTGGCAGACCCATAATTTTGTATGTGGGGGATAAAAAAAAGGGAGAATTTGGAAAAGACCAAAGGATGGCAAATATAGGATTTGAAAGCTGGTTGGGCAAAATTTACATGCTAAACTCCACGGTACAAGTGAATTTCTTAAAATCAAAGCCCTAATTAATTTCAACAGTTTGTTGAAATGCTCCATGTGGTTTCCAAATTATCTTAGTTTACCCCCCAACGTTTTAAATGACTCAATATCCCCTCTAAACTTCCATGACCAAGGTTTCTTAACAAAATCGTTAATTTCGCTAACGTGGCATGGGTAGCTTTAAAATAAATATTTTTTCCTTGGGGAAATAATTTTAAATGTTTACGTTCCCCATCCGGCGTGTGCTCATGACAGAACTTGTTAACAATGAAACAATCAGTCAGATTAATAAGGAGATTAAGGACTTGCAGGAAAAATGGGCAATACTTATGTCAATTGATGTGGCCAAAGGTTCTAAAATTAGCAAGCTGCAATCAAAATAAAATGCCATAGCTGAAGGCATTCAGAGCATCCATTGTGATTTTGAGAAATTAGTTTATGCAACATGGTGATTCTTATGATTCTCATAGATGACTCTTCAGATTACCACTCTTTTTGCTAACCTTTGGTGATGGATGACCCTTCTGAATGTAGTAATGGAAGTGATACCAAACTATTATGTAGTACTTTTTTGTTATAACAGCCATTAGCCCTAGAAATGCTGGTAACAATTATCTGTACTGATGTAAAACTTACCTAAAGCTACCCTGATCAACAATCCACCTTTATATCCCAGACCACTTAATGCTGCCAGCTGTAAGTAATTTTGATTTGCTTTACCTATTCCCTTCCGTACCATATACCTTGATCAACTTTGCCCCTTTGAACTCGGATTTTAATACAAACAGCGAACATCTTTATTAACTTAAAAACTTAATATTATCCATTTTATCTTAAATTGTTCATCAAGATTTACTTTCTAACTCGTAAATTTAAAAGAAGTTGGGTTAATTGTAATACAGTGTTTTCAACTTGAATTGTCATTAGATTGATTATCAAGAAGAATTAATTTATGACAAATCTAACTAGGAACCCACCCTTTGTTTTTATTTCTTTCTTGTTTCCGAATTTTCGAATTTGGGGTGGTAATGAAAATGGTTCAAAAAATATCAAATTTACCCTTCCGTCAAGTTTGTTTATTCTATTAAAAAAAACAAAAAAAGGGCCATGAAATTCAAGGGTCCATAGTTAATTCCACCAATTCTTCCCTTTAGACCTCATTTTCACCCATGAAATACCCATTCTTTGACCATTTTCATTTTTTCTATGACGATTCAGAATATGATTTGAAAGGAAGAATTGGTCAAGTTAACTAAGAGCATAAAAAAGAACACTTGCACGAGAATTGAAAGGGGAAGAGGATATGATTTGAAAGGAAGAATTGGTCAAGTTAACTAAGAGCATAAAAAAGAACACTTGCACGAGAATTGAAAGGGGAAGGGTTGAACATGAAAGGGTCAATCTAATAATTCGAAAACAAGAAAGAAAAAAAAACACCACGGGTGAGTTCCTAGTTAGATTCATCATCAATTAATTCTTGATAATCAGTCTAATGACAATTCAAATTGAAAACACCGTATTACCATGCTATTTAGTGAAAAATTCAGGATACTAAATTAAAATTAACCCAACTTCTTTTAAATTTACAAGTTAGAAAGTAACGTTTGACGAACATTTTTCAGATAAAACCAATAATATTAAGTTCTTAAGTTAATAAAGATGTTTGACGTTTGTATCAAAACGCACGTTCAAAGAGGCAAAGTAGATCCAAGTTATATAGTACAGAAAGGAACAAGAAAAGCAAATAAAAATTACTTACAGCTGGCAGCATAAAGTGGTCTAGGATACAGAGGTGGATTGCTGATCAGAGTAGCTTCAGGTAAGTTTTATAGTAGTACAGATAATTGTTACCAGCATCTAGGGCTAATGGCTGTTGTAACAAAATAGCACTACAGAACAGTTTGGTATCACTTCCATTACTCCATTCAAAAGGGTAATCTGAAGGGTCATCCATCACGATGCTGCAAAGGATAGCAAAAACAGTGGTAATCTAAAGAGTCATCCTTCAGAATCATAAGAATCACCATGCTGCAACAGCTAATTTCTCAAAATCGCAATGGATGCTCTGAATGCCTTCAGTTATAGCATTTGCTTTTGATTGCAACTTGCAAAATTTCAGAACCTTTGGCCACATCAATTGACATCAGCGTCGCCTGTTTTTCCTGCAAGCCCTTAATATCCTTATCAATCCCACTGATTGTTTCATTGTTTCTGGTTCTGTCATGAGCATATGCTGTGATCTGAATGTCAACTTCTTGTGATCGGTTCTGAAGCTGCCCCAACTTAACGTTCATTTCAAGCAATTCCTTCAGACGATCCCATACTGCCGTGACATCAAAGCCCAACATTTCCAAGTCAGCTAGTGCCTCCAAAATGCTATCAAATAAGTCTCTAGGATCGCCAACTTGCAACTTGGAAGTCTTCCCACCATAAAGGCAAAGTTTACCATCTTTCCAAGGGCTGATCCTTCACGACAGGCCTCTTTACACTTCAATAGTGGATGAAAAGGTGGCTTTTGCGGAAATCTTTTGAATACTTCCATGGATTCAATATTTTCCCATAATGGAGAATTTTTCACAAAGGCAAATGTGGTTGCCCAACTTGTGTTCCTCCATCCTCATTTTGTTGCATGGCAGTCCCAGCAGGGTTACCTAGAGAACACAATCATGATATTAGCCAAACTAACTACAGCCAAAGGAATCCATTGAAAATTTTCACAATAGCTTACTTGAGCACTCTATGGCTTTTACAGAATGCATTTCATCTATGCACAGTGATAAAGGTTGATCATGGGCAGATGCCGTTGCAGATATTCCAGTCACAGCCACCTGAACTTCTTTTGTCAAGTAATCCATTGCAGAATCCACAGTTTCTGTCTCTCTCATCATTTCTTCAAAACCTGCAAATTTAAGATAGATGAAATTTTATACAACACAAGCTATAAAAGTGAATAGGATAAGCAAGTGCTTATCGAAAGAGGAAAACACAAGAAAAAGGACAAGCATATCCCTAGTAAGTCTAACATCTTTTTATACATCCATGGTTTCAATTTTTTTCCCAACTGGAAAACATTTCAGAACTCCCAGCAAGTTTACCTAGAAGAAACCTTGATGTTAATCAAACGAACCAAAACCAAAACAATGCTTTGAGAACTTTCACAATAGCTTACTTGTGCCCTCTATTATTGTCTCAATATCCATTGCAGAATCTTCAATTTCTGCTTCGACCATTGCATCTTCATAACCTATGATTTTAAGAAAGGTATGAATTTTGCACTACACGGGATAACAATAAATAGGATTAAACAATAACTACCAACAGGGAAAATAGTGAGAAGGATAAGTAAATCCCTTTTATTTCCTATTCACCTACCAATATGTTGTACATTTTCTTATAGACTAATTTTAACAATAGAAAAATATTAAGGGATCTAATTGTCGCTCCCTCACACCAAGGATGAAAATATCGGCAATACAAATATCATCGGGCCTTCAATTTACGGATATTTCAGGGGATACATCGATGTCGTTTGGAACTGTAGTTGTTGCTCAAGTTGAATTGACTAAGACTCAAGTTGTGAAATGAGAATTGTATGCTACATCACAACCTGGAAAAACCTTTCGTTTATGTTAAAAAACAAGAGGAACTCATGTGCAATTTAATTTGATGGCTCCTAGCCTCTTCTTCCACTAATATGTTTTTTATTGGTATTCTATATTTTTTTTGTGATGAAAAAGATACAAGTCAATTACAACATTTGGATGGGTGTTTAGGAAAATGAATTTGGAAGGCTCAGTAAACAGAGGTGGTGAAACATAATTAAGAAACAATGATTTTGCCATTAAAGAAAGATACTGACTTTTGGTTTTACCAAGTGTAGATTCTGCAACTGTTGAACGGCAATAAGATAAGTCGATGTTCAATCTCTAGGGCGGGTTTCCGCTAAGAACGGAATAGTGTTCGTGTCCACAGGCAAACAAAGCCCTACCTTCTAGAGTTAGCTGTTTTCCCAGGCCGGAGAAGGTCTTATACCGCTCGCCTTTGTTTGATATATAGGCTTTTCCAAGAAGTTGATAGCATCTAAAGATTGCCATTTGAATGTAAGAAGTGATATATATATATATATATATAATGAAAAAATAAAATAAAAAGAGATGCATAATTTTTTTCCCTGGTTTTGTTTCTTCTGATACCTGATGGTCCTTATTAGAATGCATTTTATTCCATTTGCAAAAGGCTGAGCAACAATAGCTTAAGGTGATAATCCCTTGGCCAAGAGTGAGATATTATTTCTGTATTAACATATTTATTGTGTCATCCACATAAAACAAATGTATCTAAATTGTTGCAATCAAGAAGGGCAGTGAAGCCGAAAAAGCTGATGAAGAAGATGAGAATCGATTGGACAACATTGAATCTTTTAGTATAATGTCAGATTTTGAACTAACCGGGGGATCTCATGCTAGAACATCACGTTTGCTCCCCATGGAGGTATATCTGAAGCTCGTATGTTATGCTTCTTCGATATCTCTCTATGTATCAAAATTGCAGTCAATATTAAAATTTGGGTCAAAATTACACGAAAACTGATATTTCTCACTACTTGTTCAAAGAGAATGGTGGGATCAGTTTTCAACCTTGAGACAACAGTGGAAGTGAAACTCAGCAAAGAACATATATTTGATGCTGAACTCCCAGCAATTTATCTTAGCGAACTAGAGGACAATTCTTTCTTGGTTCAATATAAAAGCTCAAACAACTCTTGATGTTAAAGTGATCGTACGTGGCAAACAGATTCGACCTTGCATTGATAAATTACCTTATGGAAAGATGAAAAAGAAACGAAAAATTAATCAGAAACCTAATGATGATGCAACCATTGTAGGGTTTTTCAAGAAGTTTATAGCATCTAAAGACTACCATTTGAATGTAAGAAGTGATATATATAAAAAAAGAAAAAAGAAAAAGAGATGCATGATTTTTTTTCTCTAGTTTTGTTTCTTCTGATACCTAATGGTCCTTATTAGAATGCATTTTATTAGATTTGCAGAAGGCTGAGCAACAGCAGCTTGGAGAACTGGTCAATCAAGCAATAATTTCTCATAAACGAAAAACCACAAAATTCTTAAGGTGATATCCCTTGGCCAAGAGTGAGATATTATTTTTGTATTGACATATTTATTGTGTCATCCACATAAAACAAATGTGTCTAAATTGTTGCAATCAAGAAGGGTAGTGAAATCGAAAATGCTAATGAAGAATATGAGAATGGACTGGACAATATTGAATCTTTTGGTATAATGTCAGATTCCAAACTAACTGGGGGATTTCATACTGGAACATCATGTTTGCTCCTCATGGAGGTATATCTGAAGCTCATATGTCATGCTTCTTTGATATCTCTCTATGATTGAAATAAGGGATGATTCTCCTGCTAGCTAACTGGATACATGCTAATTTGATGATTAAAATAGTCATGTTTGAGAATTACTTTAATCACCAAAATGACCAACATGACTACTTTAATCACCAAATTAGCATGTATCCAATTAGTTAACAGGAGAATCATCCCTTCCTTCAACCATATTGGTCTTATATTTGTTTGATAGAAAGCACACTGGTCTTGCAATTTTGACCCAAAGTTTAATGTAGACTGCAGTTTTGATACATACAAAGATATCAAAGAAGCATATCATACAAGCTTCAGATATACCTCCATGGGGAGCAGACATGATGTTCCAGCATGAGATTCCCCAGTTAATTCAGAATCTGACATCATACCAGAAGATTCAATGTTGTCCAGTCCATTCTCATCTTCAACATCTTCTTCATCAACCTTTTCAATTTCACTGCCCTTCTTGACTGCAATAATTTAAACACATTTGTTGTATGTGGATGACACAATAAATATGCCAATACATAAATAATATCTCACTCTTGGCCAAGGGATATCACCTTAAGAATTTTGTGGTTTACCTTTTCGTTTATGAGAAATTATTGCTTGATTGTCCAATTCTCCAAGCTGCTGTTGCTCAACCTTCTACAAATGGAATAAAATGCATTCTAATCAGGACCATCAGGTATCAGAAGAAACAAAACTAGAGAAAAAAATCATGCATATCTTTTCTTTTCTTTTTTCTTTTTTATATATATCACTTCTTACATTCAAATGACGGTCTTCAGATGCTATCAACTTCTTGGAAAAACCTACAATGGTTGCATCATCATTAGGTTTCTGATTAATTTTTCTTTTCTTTTTTGTCTTTTCATAAGGTGATTTATCAATGCAAGGCCGAATCTGTTTGCCACGTACAATCACTTTAACATCAGAGTTGTTTGAGCTCTTATATTAAACCAAGTAAGAGTTTTCCCCTAGTTCGCCAAGATATATTGCTGGGAGACAAGCAACGAATATATGTTCTTTGCTGAGATTCACTTCCACTGCTGTCCCAGGGCTGAAAACTGATCCCACCATCCTTTTTCAACAATTAGTGAGAAATATCAGTTTTCTTTCTATAGAAGCTCAGCATATAGAAATTTCTATCATCCCTCAAAAATAGAAGGAATCCAGATATATTGCAAATGAACTGGAAAGGCATGAACTTGCAAACATATAAGTAAAGTCCTCAATAAATCCAAACTTAAAAACTCTATAAAATCACAAGATCCTAGTTTGAGATACAAAAAACAAAGAGAAGACATTAAAGAAAGATCCTTTGAGTGCAACAACATAAAAAGATTATCTTTTCGGGAAAATAGAAATCTTTTTAAGGAAAAAAAGAAGAATCTAAAAGCAGAACAACAAGGGCCAGGCCAATGTACAATAAACAACCTGCATGTTCTTAAATCATGAAAACCAATGGTCAAGATCCAAAGAAAATTCATAAATAAACAAAAGAAAGCCCATGTAACTTGCAAGCATAAACCAAGTACAAATCCTGTATGAAAAAAAAACCCCCAAGCATAATAATTATTAAAATGTAGAACCCACTAGTACCTTTCTTCCGGGGTCGAACCCATTTGCCGTTGAGAAAATCCCAATGAGGCCGCAGCTCAGAGCGCTTTAACTCAAGCAGATCGGGTGGGTTTAAGAAACCTCACACCTCATTACAACCCCGACCCACCAAACATCAATGTAAGAGGCGTCTACGACGTCGGCAGGCTCAAAGGGCTGGTCAGGATTGTCGATAAGAGGAGGCACTGGGCGGATGGAGCGCGCATGAACGAGCTCAATATGTGGCTTGTTTGGGTCATCGTCCGAGCCCAGAGTCTCGTACTGCACCAGAGCCTTCTTCATTTTCTTCTTCATTGAGGGATCTGAGGGTTGTGGGTCAAGTATTTTGGCTGGGAACCAAGCACCTCTGTAACCCTCTTCGTTGCTACAAACTTCGACCTTCGAATCCTTGCTCAGATGCGCTTCGCTCCTCCTCCTCCGCTTCACCATCACTTTCTTGTTTTCCCTCACTTTCTTTCTCTAGAGGAAAACACACTACTACTATATTTACCAGTGTTTTAGTAGAGCGGTCAAATTGCAGGACTCTCTCTCTGTCTCTCTCTCCTCAATTCGTACATATCTTATCCCTGGTGAAATAAAACGAATGACAGTGAAATTTGAACGATATTTTATTTTTTGTCTGAATTTGAACGATTTGTCGTGTCAATCAAGTTTCCTTGGAAGCCACAGTACTGACAGAGTTATTGTTGGATTGGATGTTCTGGTTATCCCAAGGATATACCCAAAAACCCAAAGATATACATTTTGTTGTGCCGTCCCACTAGATGTTTCAAACGGAACGGATTGGCCCAGCACGGTACGAATCTAGCCTATTTAAATAAGATACGGTACGGCACGAGCACGAATATTAATGGGCCGTACTCGGCACGGCACGAAAATTTGGGTTGAGTCGGAATGAAAAAATGAGATCCAATGGATCGGGCCGGCCCATGGCCCGACATGGGCCAAGCTTGGCTCGAGCACGCTTCAAGCACGGCACGAGCCCAAGCATGGCCCATTTAACTTTTTTTTCTTTCTAAAAAGTCAAAATGCAATAATTTGACATCTAATGTCATGTTGTAAATGTATGAGTTGGTGGATGACCACCATACCTCTTAGCATTCATCTTTTCTAATTCTATGTAACCTATGCACTAAATATCATAGTTATGGGCTTGTAACTTATGAGTTGTTAATGTTTTCTTACCATTGTAAGCCTATAAATAAGAGGTCTTATCAAAATGAGATATACAAGTTGATTGAACAATTTCTATTGTCTTTCTCTACTTTCCAATTCTCCACCATTTTTCCCTTAGTTATATAACAGGTTATCAGCACGACATTGCTCTTGGTATGTTTTCTTTCTCTGAATTTTCTTTCTTCTTATATGAGCTAGAGTCATCACATGGTATAGAGTTTATTTGTACTCGCCATCAGACTTCATCATGCTTGTTTAAGAAAAAAAAAATTCTTATTCTTATTACACATGGATATAATGTCATGTTTTATTTATTTGTTTGTTTATTTAATTTTAAGTTTGATCTTAATTATTATGATGAGTTTGTATTATACAAAAGATTAGGGCCCGAAGTTCCTCGATCCTCATCATATAACTAGATTAGGACCTAGAGTTCTTTTGATTGAATCAGAACCTGAAGTTCTTTGATTCCAAATAATTGAGGACGTGAAGTTCCGCGAATTTAAAGAGCACATAAGGACATGAAACTCCTCGATTTTGTATTAATCAAAATCAAAATTCCATAAGGCCAACATATGTCAAAAACCCGAACCAGAAGTTTCGAGTGCATATACATGGATTTGAGTATGAAGTTCAAAGCACAACTATTAATTCAATTTATTTAGATCTACGTATTCGAACTTGAAGTTTCGAATATATATTGATATGAACCTGAAGTTCATAGTTTTTCATGGATCTTAATGCTATATATGAACATGAAGTTCATTACTTATTTATGCCTATACGAACCTGAATTGGTTGGAAACCCAATTCTTAAACTTGTAGTTTTATCTACATATTGAATCCACATTAATATTGGATTATCTTGGAATTTCATAGTCTTTAATTTATTTATTTTATTCCTCGTTTATACCACTTTACTCATTTTATTTTATTTTATTTATTTATGTTGGGTTATTAGTTAATTTCATTTTACAATGGTAATGTTTTGTATTACCGCCCCAATATTGACAGCCAGAGGCGTCTATTGGAGAAACTTCCTACTTTCTTTTGTGAGTAGGAAGTTTATGATGCCATGAACCAAAAGTTCATGAGGCCCCAATATTACACAACTATTAAAGCAGTTGAAAATTATGATATCATGAACCAGAAGTTCATTGACCGGATAACTTTTACGTTGTGGCATAACTATCTTGGCAATCCATGTTCCACAATGATACATAAGATTTTTATAAATTTGTAAGGACATTGTTTAAAGACTCAAAATATTGTATTGTCCAACAAATATCATTACAAAGAATGCTCACAAATAAAAGCTGTCATAAGATCATCTCAGTCAAAAATTGATATTGAGCCCTCTTTCCTGAAATAATTCAAAGGGATATTTGTGAGCCTATACAACATTTAATTATGGATCACTTCACCAATTTTATTGAAAGTGCCTACTAAAATGGTTACATATTTGTCTCTTGTCAAGACGCTTACGAGAACTACTCCCACATTATCCAATCCAGTATGGTGAGTTTATTTTCCTACATTTTGAGACAATTTTCCCGCCGTTAGGGGAGAAATGACAGTTCCTGAAGAACGTCGTGAAATAGTGTTGAATTGGTCCGCTTTTGTCTCATCAAGATAATGCATATATAAAGTTATGAATATGGAAACATGGATTAATGCAAACAAAACAAAACAGGATGCAAAAAGAAATGGCATCATTAAAACCTTGTCATAAAAACCCCCAATGGAGGAAATCCAACCAAGAAAAAAGAGTACCACAACATCCGAAAGTAATAAAACTACCCACCCTCCATGTCTATTACCAACGTTGATACTAGCTAGTAAGGAGCCAAACCATCCTAGAAAGATGGATGTTGTTCTCGCAATCCAAACTGCGCCATAGAATGGGCTACTCAATTCCCCAATCGTGGTTGAAAACAAACATCAACAATACGCAACTGCACCATCAACCTTCTAGTGTCGTCCACAATATTTCCCAAATTACTCCATAGCTCACCATCACCCTTCAATAAAGCCACCACTTCTTGCAAGTCGGATGCTACCAAAAAACTAGATAGTCCCAACTTGGCAGCCTTCATCAAACCCTGTGTATAGCAACACATTCAGTAGCCAAAACATCCAAACCTACTGGACCCTTGTCTGCAAACCCCCAAATAAAGTTACCCTCAGAGTCTCTTAAGACACAACCAACCCCTCTATTACAACCTTCTTTTCCAAGAGCTCCATCACAATTCTATAACAAAATAGAAGAATGAGGTTCAATCCACCTAATAAAACGTGGCACCCTTGCTAGCTTAGTGCGAGCATTATGAATTTTGAAATGCTCCAAAAACTCCATGGTCCATTCAACGACCTCAGTAAGCCCACCAACTTCCTTTCCGTAGAGCACATCATTGCGAAGCTTCTAAACTCTCCAACAACAGCACACAAACCGTTCCAAAATCGCTTGCTGAAAATGTATGAAACATAACCTCCAAAAAGTTAGCAAAGGAATCTTGTATGCCCGCCAAATCAATATTGAAGGAAGTTTGTGCCCAAAATCATCTACTTCGTTTACATCCCCTGAAAGCATGGACAACATCCTCTGTTGCAGTCTCACAACCAAAACAAGAAGTCGAAGCTAGTACCTTCCTTTGAACAAGATTTAGTGATGTAGGCAAAATATTTAAAATTTCCCTCCAAAGAAAGATTTTAACCTTATTCGGTACCTCCAAATGCCAAAGTTTTTTTTTTTTTTTTTTTTGAGATCTCGAATTTTCTAATCTCCCCATTAACATGGAGCTTTATTTTAAACACTATATAGTTTACTAATTTGGAAGATAGAAATACAATTTTACATAATTAGCACAAGGCCAAAGACCAAAAAGTAGTACCTAATTTTACAATAACATAAAACATCACAATTACACACAATGCCACTCCTTCTAAGGAAAGCACATTATGCCACATGTCCACCTCAAGCAATCCCTCTTCCGGCCAGCCGCTATTGTCACATCCCGGGATCGGCTTCGTCGTAGCACGATATTGTCCACTTTGGGCCCCCCATCTCTGCTTTCACGGTTTTGTTTCTAAGAAATCATGAGCAACTTTCCAGTGGGTCACCCATTCTAGGATTGCTATAACCCCAACTCGCTTAACTTCGGAGTTTCTATGACTCCGAAGCCAGTAGACTCCCAAAAGGCTTCGTGCTAGATGGAGGCGGGCATGGGATTGGCTCTGCCGTAACACGATATTATCCGTTTTCGGCCCCCCCTTTGCCCTCACGGTTTTGTTTCTAGGAACTCACGAGCAACTTCTCAGTGGGTCACCCATTCTGGGATTGCTCTAGCCCCAACTCGCTTAACTTCGGAGTTCCTATGGCTCCGAAGCCAGTATGCTCCTAAAAGACCTCTTGCTAGATGGAGGCGGGCATGTACATATAAGGCACATCACCCCCTCTCTATTGGTCGATGTGGGATGTTACAATCCACCCCCCTCAAGGGCCCGACATCCTCGTCGGCACACTCGCACCACACGGCAGAGTGGCTCTAATACTAAATTGTCACATCCCGAGATCGGCTCCGCCGTAACACGATATTATCCGCTTTGGGCCTCACTCTCTGCCCTCGCGGTTTTGTTTCTAGAAACTCACAAGCAACTTCCCAGTGGGTCACCCATCTTGGGATTGCTCTAGCCCCAACTCGCTTAACTTCGGAGTTCCTATGACTCCGAAGCCAGTGAGCTCCCAAAAGGCCTCATGCTAGATGGAGGCGGACATATACATATAATGCACATCACCCCCTCTCCATTGGTCAATATGGGATGTTACAGCCACTGCTCCTACTGCAGGCCAATAACCCCCGCCTATCGCCAGCCAATTGAGGACCAACTCCGTTGCCCTTTATTCACCCTAAAAAATTAGAAGATTTTGTGTCATTGAAGGGAATCATCATTAGTTTTTAGTATTTTTATTTAGACACAAATTGTTAATAGAACTTACCAATACTTCCATTTAGAGAAATTGTATATAAAGCTCAACAAGAAGGCATTCGATCCGAATAAGCAATCAAAACTATGTCGACCTTATTCCCAGCCTGACAACCCCACAAACAAATTCAACTTCAAACCTCAATTCCCAGCCCCATTTTTTATGTTTTTCTGATCTCTTTTGAACAAAAAATAAAGGCAAAAAGTCATTTTAGGTCCTTGTGGTTTACCACTTTTACCACTATGGTCCCTATGGTTTCAATTTCGTCACTTTTGTCCATGTGGTTTCAATTTGAACCAATTTGACAATTCCCAATTTATGATACTTATTGAGAGGCATTTCGGTCCAAACTTGCAGCACCTCCCCAACCACCCTACAACCACCAAGCAGCCCCTCCAAAAACTTATCTCTGTTGTAAATCAACAACAAACAATGATCCATTTGAATTTTTGTTGATAAAAATTATGGCCATCTATACATAAACATCAACTAACAAAATCATAATCGAGCGGGTCTTAGGATTACACAAGGGAGATACATTTCTTTATTTTTTTTCTGAACCCAAAGAAAAACTCACAATTATAATCATAATCCATTCATAATCCATCTCATTTCTTCATAACGGATGAAGGTAATCTCCAGCCAAAAAAGAAAAAAAAGTTAGCCAGAGCAAGTCTACTTCGGTCTTTTTAAGCTTCATAAAAGTAGCCTAGGATTACAACAGCATCATCAATTGCAGCTCTTACTGCACCTTGTACCAGTGTCACAAGCTTTGATAGTTTCTTATTATGTAATTCAACATAATCTCTAAAAAAATTTATTAATGAAGGTTGTATAATGGTACCTCTCTTTGTACATCTTCAAGGAGCATTGTTTGTTGCTGGTTTAGACAGTGGGATTGTCAATGTTTACAACAGGGAAGAGTTTTTGGCGGGCTAGTGGCGGTGGAGGTGGTTGGGGAGGGGCTATAAGTTTGGACTGAAATGCCCCTCAATAAGTATCAGAAATTGGGAATTGTCCTTAAATTGTATCAAATTGAAACCACAGGGACAAAAGTGACGAAATTGAAACCATGGGGACCTTAGTGGTAAAAGTGATAAACCACATAGACCGAAAGTGACTTTTTGCCAAAAATAAATAAATGTCACACATACAATGCACTACATACATACATTACAAGCATATGTGGGCCAAACATACAATGGACAATCGGATTTTATCCTTGCTAGCAGAAGGGATTGAAAATATATCTATGAGAAGCCAATCAGTAAATCCCCCTTTTATCTTTAGCTTAAGAAATTATCATGACAAAAGTTCTTTCAATTTCAAGTGAAGGATGATCTTATTAGCTTGGGTATGTATGTGTTACAACTCAGAAATTAAACATACTCAAAGGTAATGCTTCAAGCAAAAACTGTTAAGAAAAATTTGTATGGTAATGAGACTTTCTTTCATGAATCATGATTGACAATACTAATGAGTTTCAATTTTACGGTATCTTTTGTCTAAATATTTTTGAGAACTTTTACATGTCGACCCCGGAAGAAATATTCCTAGATTCGCCACTGATCATATCTGGACTGTCTAAACAACAGAACATAGCAGAGCAACCCTTCAAAGCCAAAAGAACGCTTCCACTTTCTCCATCTCCCAAATTTTCTTCTGAATTTTTGTTTCCCCTGCATCAAACCCTTTATCAAATAACTCAGATTCTCATAACCTAAACCTAAAGAAAGAAAAAAGAAAACATGCGAAAAATGTCCAAAAGCTCACCATTCTTCTGGATGCGTGGACTGTGAAAACCTCTACCAAGCAATCCTTTGAGAATCCAGAAGCTCACGTAGGTTAAAGCATCAAGAACACAAAAGATGGGTTTTTCATAGTCCATTCGCGCTGTTTTCAGTTTGTTTTCGCTTCCAGTTGTGGCTTCCAAGGGAAAAAAAGAGTTTCGCAGGAAAAAGTTGTGTGTTAATGAGTTTTGTTTAATCATAAAAGGAATTCTTATGCACATTATATTAGTTTGACCAAATTATAGAACAAGGGCAAACATGAAACCAGCAGCCATGGTTTAAGAAACAGGGGCAGAGCAGGCAGAAGCAAAGGCACCGCTACCTCTACAGCATTTGTTTTAAAACAAACAACTCACAGCAGCCACCCAAAGCCGGCTGCAGCGCATGACCAGCGGCGAATTCCTTGGGGTAAAGGGGGATCTGAAAATTGGAAAATCCCCATGGAAGAGCTGGTTTTGATCCCCTCGGAGGTGTGGATGTGCCGTAAAAATGTACGCCCACCAGTCCCGCAGCCACCCACCTCCCCTACACACAGCTAGCTACCCCACTCAATTCACGCACCTCCACCCAAAGGCAGATAACAGCCAGAGCCTCACCAAAGCCATCCTTATATTCTCCCTTCACTGATATCAAGCCGGTTACTTGATGATTTTTGAATAAGGGATTGAATGTTATTGTAATATAATGTGAATTGAATTGCTGTTTTGAGTAGAATGGTTCAGTTTCAGAATGGTGATGATAATTTTTTTTACTCTGATTTTTATGGGTTTTGATGAGTTGCTTTGGGGTTTTGATGGGTTTTTTTCACTCAAATTCACATAGAATAATTCTACATATTCACCTCCATGGAATACATAAACAGTACACAGTAAACACAGTGTATGATGAATATAAAACACCAAACTCAGTGATAAAACTAAACTAAAAATAAAAATAAAATAAAATAAAATAAAATTTAAACAATCTGAATGAGATGAGATTAGCAGGGGATTTGAGAAGTGAACCACTCCATCACATGAATTGGGGCTTTGACCAACTCCAGAGCCAACTCCACGACCACCGTCACGCACAAACAGCACGGGCATATGCAAGTCAGCAACAATCTACACACAAAAAAATAATAAAAAATTACCCCCACCCAAAAATAAAAACCGAAAAAACCAATCAGACCCCAACTTCAAAATCAACAAGCTCCAGGCACTACGAAATATCAGATTGCATAAAAATCGCATAATGTCAAAAACCCATATGATCAAATTGAATGAAACTGCATAACAAGTTAAGAACCAAGAAAACTAGAGATTGCCCAGATGACCCATATTCCTGAAAATCAATTGAATTGAGAAAGGCAGAAGGAATTGTACCCGACGATCCAGATAACGATGCCGACGATGGAGAGGACGAGGGAGAGGAGAGCAAAAGGAAGGCCGAGCAGAAAGCCCAGAGGCCTGCAATCACCTTCTGAAGAGCACATTTTCTCTCGCTTTCTTTCTTCTTCTTTTTTTCTGGGATTTTGGTTCTTCCGCAGCAACTGCTTGAGAGTTGAGAGAGAAGAGAATGGAGAGAGACTTGTTTAGTAATGGGAGACGGCACACGTTGTGTGTTGTATTGTTGGAAGTTTCTTGTGCTTTTCTATTTTCTTTTACCAACGCAACGCTACCAGTGGGATATACATGATTACGAAAAATCTGTATTTTTTAAATATAAAAATTATTTATTTTTTTTTTTTTTTTTAAATAATAAAAACAAATTTTAAGCATCGAATCTTTCACCTTTTCTTTTGGTACCGAAATAATACTTTCGGAATAAAGTTTTACTTTCTAAACCACGTATTTTTCAACTTTTTTTTTAAATAATAAAAAGAGTGACTATTATTATGTTTTTTTTATAAAAAAAAATTCTCCACCCATATTTTGTAACAAGAGATATGAAGTTTTTTTCTTTTTAATACAAGTGATAGTCTAAACTATAAGGGGATGAAGGGTTTTTCACACACACATTACTAAGTAGGGGTGGGTATAGTACGGTATTGAGCTCGTACTATTACCGATACTGGAAATTAAAACTGATATAGTACGATATGGGATTATCGTTTGTCAAAGTTGGTACCGTACCGTACCGTGCCAAATCAGTATCGGTACCAAAATGACAACTAAAAAAATGCAAGACGGAATGAATAAGACAATAAAAATAGCTACTAAATTTCATAATTCATTCATATGATATGCCTTGAGAATCCAAACCTTCAGACTAAAGCTTGAAGACAAAACACAACTTTTTTCATCAAAATGTTGGCTACCCAGATTAAATTACAACATTTTCTTATATGTGCAAGACATTAATTATGGGGGAAAAAACCCAACTCAATTGCAGAAATGGGGAAAACAAAAATTGAGAAAATGAAATTTACATTAATTAAGCCATGAAAATGAACTTACAGATATGATTATCTGAGAAAATTTGACAAAAGATGCAAAAAGAAAATTACAATTCATTGACATTGATCAATGAAAGTAAACAACAGCTACCCAAATCCCCAGCAACCTCAAGAAATTCTTCTTTTTTATATGTACAAATTTGCAAAACGGGACTTTGGAAAATCTCCTTCTTTCCTTCACAGTTCATCACAACAACTATATGTTTCTATTTGAACATGTTTATATTTCGGTATAGTACGGTATTGACAGGTACCAAATACTTGATACTGCAACCATACCATACTCTATTGGTATGGTACGGTACTGTACAGATTATCTCCCAATCCCAAATGAAACGGTATGAAATTAGTATGATACGGTATGGTTAGTGTACGGTTTCGGTATTTCGGTTTTAGATGCCCACCCCTATTACTAAGGATGGAAAAAACTCTTATCGGGTCCTCAACCCTAATGGGGGAAGATTTTGGGAAAATATTGGGGCCAGGTACGAAGATTCCCGAATTTAAAAAATTCCCAATCGGGTATAGGCCGGGATGGTATTGTTATCCCCATACCAAAATCTGGCCTGATAATTGATATATTTATTTTTAAGTAATTTACATATAATATTACTATGTATGATTATAATATAATCAATAAATATATAATTTAATATTTATTTAGTTTTCTAAAATTGAATTAAGATGATTGTGAGCAGTTTCATTGAATTTTATAGGTCAATTAAATGTGATTGATAGTTTAAGTTGAAATAAATGCTATAATGTAGGATAAATCTTTTTTTAAGAAAAAATATATAGAATTCGGGCCGAGTTTGAGAGAGAGCCCTCGACAGGACGGGGAGGAGGATTCCCCGAAAATTATTATTGGGGATGGGGCATGGGGGCACATATGGGAAGCTGAGACGAGGATGATATTGCCATATTCAGCCCCAAATTGTTATGTTGTCATCCCTATCAAAGTGTCATGAAATTTAAATTTAAGACCACTAATTTAAAAGTTAATGTCTATTTCCACTAACTTACGTCCTGTCTTCTTCGATATATAAAGTTGATATATAAAGTTAATAATGCGAACTTCGACAATACAAGGGAACCATATGGAAAATTGGGGGGGGACTGCGCCTTATCCCTACTACAATCATCAAAAGCGAGAGAATCCGCGTGTTACTGTGGCTCGTAGTATATTGACGTGGGAGCAAATAATTTCACAGCAACGACGATGTGCCACGTGAACTGAAAGATGTCCATATGGGCTGCCACCTAGAAAAGTAGGTTGTAGTTAAATAGTTGTCTATATGACCTTTTTTCATTCTTTTTTCATATTCTCAAATAGACATTTCTATGTGGAGCCAAAGAAAAAGACTTGCATGAGATGTTTTGTCAACAAAGCTACTGTGGCGGTGACCCCATGATTCCTTGGCGTGTCGTATTTAAATGAAGAACAGATGTGCAAAGCAAGTTTGGGAACAGAAGTCGCCTACACGTGTATGTAGTGATGCGAGAGGTGATTGCAATATTTGCAAACAAGGCAAAAATAAAGCGAAGATAAGGCAATAATAGCATCTCCTATGGCCATGTGAGCCATGTGCTATATACTATGCATTCCCACCACATTTTAACCGCTCACTAGAAAAGGTTTATACAGCTTGGATGCTAGAAAAGAGAAGGAGAGAGAACTTCTATAATCGTACATATAACAAAAGCATGTACAAAATTTACAAGAAAAAACTATAATGGTGAAGCATCTTAACAACAACAAAAAACAAATACAACTGTGAAGAAGTAGACAAGAATTTGACAACAGCTTTTCTACTTGAATTTTTCTGTTGAGCAGAAAAGAAAGAAATTGAAGAAGAGGGTAAAGATAATAACTCAAAAAGTATGTGCACTTTTCTAGGTCTAGTATGATGGCGCTTTCTCTCTCCTCTAAACATGCCAAATTAGGTGGTGCCCTGAAGAAAAATCAGCAAGATAGGTAACCGAGTTGTAATGCTTCTTGCGAACACACAAGAAAGAAAGAAAGTATGCAACCATATACGAGGATATGCTTCATACCAATTGCTCGGAGACGAAAACATTTGCTGAAGCAAAACAACTAAGGCCTGTTCAAACTTGAGTTCTCACTCTCCATGGAAATTATGGAAGCAAGCCTATCATAAACCTGAATAATAGTTGAGATGTTAAGAGTATCCATTTGCCAAAGGATAAAAGATAAATAACAAAGTTCTGAAATTAGTTTCACGGATCATGTAATGCCAGGATCACATACCTCCGTAAGCTTCTTGGTTTTATCCTTTTTCTTATTCTTATCCTGGTCATTTGTAGGTAAGTCATACCTGTAGAGGAGATGAAGCAAATTGTTATGATTCCATGAACATATATTTTTACACATGCAGACTAGAACGAGAATTTAAGTCATTTTTCAAAAAGATAAAACAAAGTTGAACTTGATATTAATAGTGACATTTTGTACAAAAACTCATCCTAATTAATACCAATCCAAAGAACTGCCAAGAAATAAAATTTTCTCACCAATCACGAGGAATGCCAGCCTCATCACGAGCTGAATAATTGAAGGGCCCTCTCAACTCCACATTATACTCTTTTAACAAGTCTGCATGGTTATTGTAAAAAATCCGTATAATGATCAACCTTGCTCTAAGAATGTAGTAGGACTATAGATGAGAATATATACACAGGAAATATGAAGGGACAGCCAAACCTTTAAATGCAGAAGATGGGGTACAATCCATTTTCTGACAGACATCAACAAACCAATGGACTCCAACAGCCACATGTGCAACTTCTTCATCAGCAATTCTAGCTACAATGTCTGATGTCCTGAGATCTCCAAAGCCAACCAATTTTTGCACAAGTCGTGGTCCAGCATCTAGTCCTCGAGCTTCCTAAAACCAAGGATTACAACTCATCAAATATAAGCTAAAGAGAATAAATCTGGACGAAACAAAGATTAAATTGTTTTCTTTTCTTTTCTTTCTTGCTTTCTCTTTGTCCTTTTTTTAATGTGTGTGGAGAACACATGTGTACACGTATGCATTCTTTTCTTCCCTTTCTTACCAAGGAGTCTGCCCTTAAATTGGTTAATAACAACATGCTAAAATGTTGGGGGGAAAAACTAATGTTTCTTAAGTCATCCATCCTCAAATTAACTATATATCCAGATGTTCATGGAGTGACTGATGAGGAAATTATCTTGCAATCAATCAACCATCTCCAATTTTTCTTGGTATTATAAACAGCACCAAATCTTAGCTTTTAAAGAAGCAAATGCCCATCACTCTTAACGAGTTATCAATGTTAAAAAATAGCCTCAAGAAGTACATGTCAGGTAAATTAATTGAAGGAAAACTAAGAGTTCAAGACAATGCCAATCCTGCCTGCAGTAAAGGCAAGTAGATGCAACACAGTTATGCGACATCAAACATTATTGCAAAATCATTTGTTTTTGTGTCCAATATGCATCACTAGAAATCCAAAATTTGGTCATAGTAGCTAAAGGTTGAACAAGAAGCAGAAGAGTTTATATAATAAATCAGTCAACTGTTACAGCACTAATCTAGGCTTCTCATGCTTTCTTCCAATAATTTAGCTCAACAATCCTCTAGACCTCACCACAAGTTGACAAAAGTTCTACAGATTCAAAAAATTCATTATTCCATTTTTTTTTAAATTTTTGGAGCAGCCATTGTTCTAAAAACCACGAACTTTTACAACTTGATCCCATGTAGTATCAACCGTATAGGCTTACACTCCCTCAACATTCCATACAAATATATACAAAGGTCATAAAGCTCTCTTTATTTGGAGGACATGATAATTTTGAGAGAAATTATAAATAAAACATGTGAATATTATCGATAAATACATTCATATAAAAGTTTTCAAATACTACATACATATATATATATAGGATGATCTCTTTCCAGAATGTCTAGCAAATCAAGACTGCAGATTTGGACACAACGTAACCAATTAAACTATCCTGATTGATAGTCTGACAAGATAACAACATGTTACACAACAAAGCAAGAGAAACTGATTACATATACATTGCACACATGTGAAGATGTTGCCAATCACCAGACAATAGTCAACACAAAACATTGGTATTGAGGGATGTCACAGATTGTTATCGCATGGAAAAAACAACACAATTTTTCTTCAAGAAGTTTTAATAAGGACATTTTTCTCAACTGTTACATTATATATGGATACCTAAGATGCAATGACGTGCATCTCAGCTTGTTTATGTCTGATCTATTGGCTGAGAAAAATGTTGTTTTTTAAATATTAGAGATAACATAGGGATTATGGGTATTACCTGGACTAGAGGGATCACTGCCAAACGTGCAGCAACATTTTCAGATGATTTCTCACACTCCCTCCAAAGCAGATTATGAGCAGGCATGTCTCCATAACTTGTCACAAAAGCAAAGTTACAAGTCAACCTAAGAAACAACAACCAATTATGTACCCAAAGTAACTACTCTCCTCACTTGAAACCAAGTTCAGCAAGTCTCTGAGAACACCAAGAAAAATGGCGACTCTCATCGTCAGCGACATGAGCAAAGTCAGCAAAAAATCCCTCCCCTAGAGTCTCACTAAAAGGTGAAAAACGAACAACAGTATCCCAAGCCAAGTCAATCGCATTGAGCTCAACATGAGCAAGATTATGAAGCATATAAGCATTAAGAGGCAAACCGGAGTTCTTGGGAGCTGGAATTTCTTTTGGGGAAACCTGAATTCACATAGTACATGGCAAAAATGAGTGCCCACAGATGTGCATAAGCATTGTATACATCTTTATAGTTTGTTCAGAAAAAATTAATATAAATTAAAACACTGGAAACAGGAAATTTCCATGAGAAAATATGCAATACCCAATTCAAGGGAATATTAAAAATACCCTCAAAGGCAACAAGTACAAGGCTTTATCATTATTTTTAAATTATTTTTAAAAAAAATGTATTTTTAAGGAACAGAGAAACAAACCAGTTGAGGTTTGAGAGGGCGAGCGGGTCGAGGAGGGGGTTCACACGAGCCAATTGGAAGGTTCTCTAGGCGCCACCTGGAAAAAGCAAGATGGGAAAGCTTGGATTTGGCGAGAGGGTCACTGGTGGAGAGAACCAGAGCACCAAGCTCTGCAAGGGAGGAAGCTGATGACACCATTGGACTGTCATCGCTGTTAAGAGAAGACGGCTGTGACTGTAGCGGCTGAGGTTTTGGGCCTTTGGGTCCCCAGCAACGATTCTCGTTGAGTGGGGACTCTCTCCAGGTTTGCAGACCAGTCCAAGGTGAACATTGCAAGGAAGAAGAAGAAGAAGAAGAAGAAGAAGTAAAGGAGTTGATTTTGAGGCAGAATAAGAAAGGGACATGGGAGCACACGGAGCGTTGTAACGTTGGAGAAAGCATGGGTTTCAGTTTCAGACGCTGCATTTCATTTCGTGTGAATGCCACTGGTGCTGACCTCCAATTCTTATCGATTCTTTTTTTTCTTTCCTGGTCCGTTTAATGCTTGTTGATGAACAAACACTTTCTGGTCTGTTTGTTTGGGCCTGGTTTTGGCATTTTTATTTGCTGGGATTGGTTTTCTATCGCCCAAAGCCCATAATTGTTTAGTTTTTTCGTCTCTTAATTTTTAGTTAATGATGCAAAGTCACATGTCATAGGGCTTACGATTTAAGTGGTTAAGAGCAGTTACTATTGCACCCAAGGTTTTGTATTCCAATCACCCCTCAATATCGCTCATATTCATTAAAAAAATTAAAAAAAATAGATGCAAAGTCACAGGAATTTTGTTTGCATTAGGGTTGGGCACAACGTCGTTTGGTTAGTGTTGGGCGAAACCAGGAATTTTTGTAAGGGTGGACTAAATTTTTATTTTTTATTTTTTTATTTTATGGGAGACATGTTATATTACTTATTTTTCTTAAAACAATCAAGTTCATTCACATACTGAACAAATATAATGCAAAGAAGTACATAATATATGTAAAACATCAAATTAAACACATGGTCACACATCAAATTAAACACATTGACAAACATCAAATTAAACACTTATTGCCAAACATCCTAGTGAAGTAGAACTCTACACTATTTGAGTTTCTCAAAATCTGTGATTATTGAATTTGAATCAATATCCATAGAAAGTTCTTTCTCAATGTAGACAATAAGGGAATCTGTCAAATACTCATCCTCCATCTTGTTGCGAAGTACAATTTTAATATGTTTCATAGCTGAAAATGCTCGTTTTGTAGTCGCCCTAGAAATTGGAAGAGTTAACACTAAACGAATCAACCTATCAATCAAATAATATGTATGTGCTATGTTTGTTTAAGTTCATCATTGATATAGTTCAAAAAGAGTAGACATATTTTGAATGATATCAAGATGTACTTCAGACTAAAAAAAGTTCTAGTTGATACCTCAATAAATGTAAGTCTTTAGAAGTGGAATCTCTTGGAAAAAATTTATCTGCAAGCTTGGAAATATCATCAATTTTAAATGCTTTAAAATCATTGCTAGGGTCCAAAGCAGAGCTAAGAGTAAGAACTTCTATTGTTCCTTCATTGAATCTAGTGTTTAACTATTCCAATTGATAATCTATGGTATCATTGAATAAATCAACTTGGTAGTGATGTTCAATTGTAATATCATCACGTTGTTGACAAGAACGATGTGTACCAATTTTGTAAAGAGCATTCATATCTAGCATATCAATGTCATATTTTTGGCAAAATGATTCCACTTCCTCAAGAAAATATCCCAACCACCCAATCTTAATTTCTTAAGAACATTTTTTGTACTACAAACTAAATTCATAGTAGTCAAGATATCTTGAAATTTATTTTCTAATGCTCGGCAAAGGCCATTAGTAACTCCCATCATTTTTTTACAACAAATGCAAGACAAATATGAACTTAAAAGATGTCATCACTTTGAAAGTACTAGTAATTTCCCTGCGTATAAAGTTAGTGGCTCCATCCTTAATTAAGGTTTCAACCACTGAACAAGATGCATTATACATATATATCAAGTCTGAAACAGAATCATAATGAGAACCCCAACAAGTAGCTCTAGGCTGAACCAAGGTACCAATTTGATTAGCCCCTCTACTTGTGTCACGTTCACCAATATCTAGCATATGTGCAATATCAGTTGCTTGAGTAAATTGTAATTCACCATGGCGCTTAGGAGAAGCAATAATAAGATTGATAATGGAATTCAAGGTTGAAAAGAATAGCCTAATAAGAGCCACATCTTTTGTTGTTGCCAGGGGTGGTCTTACACCTAGGGCAAGGTAGGCTGCTGCCTACCCCAAAATTTTCAAAAATAAAAAATACCCATATAGAATAGGCCAACCCATGTGAAACATACAAACCAATACAAACCAAAGCTCACCCATGTGAAACATACAAAACAATGCCCACCCTAAACCCATGTGAAACATACAAACCAATGCCCACCCAAAAAGTAAGCCATATGTATGCATAACCTAAAATTTCTCTTCTCTTTAATTATCTTCTCTTTAATTTCCTACCCCCAAATTTTAAGATTTTGTGTATGACAACATTGAATTTAATATATTCTAAATAGGTTAGAAGTTATGTGTTCTAATCTATTCTAGAGTTTACTTAAAGAATGAATTATAATTTGCTGGCTTTGTTAAAATTAATTAGGTCTTTGATTTTTGGAATTTTGTTGAGATGTTTGATTTGATATTGGTATTTTTGAGATGTTTTGATTTGTTGTTGGTATGTTAATGTTTGATTAAAGGCATTGATGTTATTATGAGAATTTATTTGATTTTTTGTTGGGATGTTAGATTAAATAGGTTATCTTTTGTTATGTTAGATCACAATCTGAACCCCAAGAAAATAAAGAATTTGTTGGAAATTTTTTTTAAAGAAAAAGAATAGGTTTTTTTTTTCCCGCTATACTTTTATTTATGTATAGAGATGCATTTGAGGGTAAGGCTCATTATGTCCTCCTACCAAGTGTATATTTTTATGTTTATTAATGAGATTCACTCATAACCTCGAGTTTTTAATGTAAGTTTCGCCCAGTTGGATTTCAAATTCTGGATCCGCCTTGCTGCAACTAATGTTAATTGTAGTTTGTGAGCAAAACAATGTGCATAATTTGCATAAGAGCAATCTCTAAGAAATAATGCTTGTAATCCATTCCATGCACCTCGCATATTGCTAGCACCATTATATCCTTGACCTCGCATTTTATCAATTTGGAGACCACAATTAATTAGGACTCGAGATATCTTTTTTTTAAGTGTTGAAGAACTAGTGTCTTCAACCCTCACAATCTCAAAAAAAATGTTCTCGTACAAAACCATCTCTATCAACAAATCTTAAAACAAAGACTATTTTCTCTCTGTTAGATGCATCTTTTGCTTCATCAACAAGAATACAATAAGTCGATTCCCCAACTTCCTTGCGAATTTTAGTTCTCACTTTGTCAGTGAGAATATGCAAAATCTCCTTTTGAATCAATGGTGAGGTATATTTAGCATTTCTCGGGACATTTTCTAAAACAACTTCAACAATTTTATCATTCCAATGCGCTATATATTTTATCAATTCAATGAAATTTCATCAATTCATTGAGTCTATGGATTCATCATGACCTCTAAAAGCACATGCTTGAAATGTAAGCCACCTAACACTCTCAATTGTTGCCTTTAGCCGTAACCGATTCTTCCAAATTTGCTCTTTTGGTTGTTTATGAATAAATTTTTCAATATGTTGAGATGATTTCATTAAATCTTTAGCACATCTTACACAAGTGTTATGTGGTGAAGATGGACCTCTAACATGTTGCAAAAATGCACATTTCTTTCCATCATTCACTCTTTTCCAATTATTGAACCCTTCAATAATTAGTGAAGACCCATTTGTTGGATTCTTTTCAAACACAAAGCATGGTAAACAATATGCCTTATATGTTATTGGAGAATACTCTAATTATGAAAATTGTGAGAACCAAGAATATTGAAATTGACGTCTTTGTTGCCCAAACAAAGTCCTTGGATGCTCAAAAAATTTAGGTTGATAAGGCCCTAATTTGGTATAAACCCTTCAAATCTCATCACACTGATTAATGGGGTGTTCACAAATTGGAATATGTTTCCTTGGATCTCGTTCTAAAGAACTAGTGTCAAATTAAATTGAAGTATCAACATAAGATGCAAAAAGTGTATTCTTAGTATCAAGATTAGATGCAGAAGGTGTATTCTCATTATCATTACCACTTTTTTCCAAAGAATGAATGAATAGTCTTTTCTCTCTTCGCCGGTCTATTATCATCATGTAACATTATATCCTAACAAAAAAAATATTATACACCAACAATTATATATATATATATAGAACATTTATCAATTGAAATCTTGCATATATAAATATTGTTGTCTCTTTTCTTGTTGCTCTAATAATTCCCAAAATTTAACACTCAAACCTTAAAAATCTAATAATAACAATTCAAATTTAGAAATAAATAAGAAGAAACAGATAAACCTATCAATATTGAAGAACCCACTAAATGATTTTGAAAAGGAAGATAGCAGATGTTTCAGTGTACTTTTCTCTTTTACTTTGTTTCCAAGCCCTCTTCTTTTGGGGTTTACTGTTATTGTGGTGATTTTTTTACTATTTCGAAGCCCTCTTGTTTTTTGGGGGTTTTAATGGTATGCTAATATTTTAATGATTGTTGCCCTAATTGACGAACCCACAGAACAAGAGCAGCATGCGTGGGTTGAGAAAAAAAATACAAGTTTCATATTCCTTTCCTCTCTTTTTTAATCTTGTTGTAAAGGTACTTTTATTTGGCTTTATTCCTTTGTGTGGGTTGAGAAAAAAAAAAAGTGTTGTGTGGTGCTAGTGGGCTAATATTTAATTATAATATATTTGTTTATACATTGAAGCTTAAATTAGAAACTTAGCACAACGCTACAGCCCACTGGAACTCCTTCTTAGTTCCGCCTTTAAACTCATCACCCAACCGACCATGTTGACCTGAGATGAGACGTCATCAAGCACGTATGTCCACCAAGATTTACATCTTGGTTCAGTTGGTTTCAGTGATGCCAATGAGGTACGAGGCGGAGGAGCAATGACATTGACTGAGTCGGCTGCAAGTCCTACAAGGTGGAGCTAGGACAGAGGCGAGATCAACGAGGAAGAAGACCACCAAGACGAAAATCCTACGCAAAATGAGAGAGAGAGAGAGAGAGAGAGAGAGCCTATGGTTTTTTTTAGTGGGTTGAAATTCAAAGCGATGTGGGTGCATGGTAGCCTACAGTTATTTACTTTAATTCGTTTTTGATTTTTTGAATATCGTCAGTTAGGTTTGGTTCGGTGAATCGATAATTTACTTATAATAGTTGTAATAATGATTTGAACTAATTTGGTTTTTGTGTT